ACATAATTTGAATACTAAAGATTACCTGCTGCGGCAACACGTACACTTTCCTTCCCTTCATGAATCTCCTCAAGTTTGTTAATCGCAAGACCTTGTTTCCCCAGTCCAACTACCGCGACTCCGGAGTAATCTGTTTCATCCAAACCCCAAAACACTCTAGCATGACCTTTAGGGATCTTTGGTCCTGCTCTGTAGCGCAAACATTCGTTCGAAGTTAGTAAAAAAATTTTGACCATAACAATTTGTTGAGGAAAAATATGCGATAATAACGCATTTAGTAGACAGAAATATTCAGACACAAATTCATAAATTTATTAATTACAATAGAATCTAGGCATTCTTTTGACATTCATCATGTATGGTATATTTGCAATTTTAAAATATACTCTAAAAATATACTATTCTTTATTCTAGAATATTCTTTTTTTCATTCAGTTATACATTATACATCGGTACATTTACAATTACTCACTTCGGAGAGTATAGCTACACATTAATTCACAACTGCTGTTTTTCTGAGCTACAGTATCAGCGTAGATACATTACATTACGGAACTGTTTCACATCAGTTCTCACTAACACTGTTGAAACGAGCATTATAACCTATTTAGCAGCTTAAGATATAATATACAATGAAATCTGTTGATAAACTTCATAAATTGTTTTATATACAATAACGCTATAAGTAGTAATGTGACTTTGTCATGGGGTTTACTTGGCATAGTAGTATAGTAACACAATATAATAAAAAATAAATTTACATATAATTAGATATGTTCGCCGCAAATAAGAAATAATAGATTCATTAATATTATAACAAGAGTAATTTTATATATATAAAAAAAAAAAAAAAAAAAAAAAAAAAATGTACTCACTGTTCTATTCAATTTCACATTCCGAAAATTTATGTGAATGTTATATATTTTTACCATAATATATTTCATTCCTCTATTTCCTTTATTCTTTGTACAATTTCTTTTCTTAAATAATGTTCATATTATTTAAAACAATAATTTACTTTGTTTTATTTTGTTTTTTCTGTTCTTCGATTATTCAATGTTTCAATTAGGAGTTAATATAATATTACAAATTTTTTAACAGCAAAATCAAACACAAAGAAGACATAATATAATCAATAAAATAATTTAGTAAAAAAATATCATAAGTCAGTTTCAATAAAAATATGTGTTATCTATATATACCATTATGAGTGCAAAAAAATATTGGAGATGTTGTTGATTACTTCTTATCACGTTTCTGTTTACAAGATTGTGCAATCACATTGTGATACCATCAAGTCAATTTAAGCTAAACATTTTGTTAAAATGAAAAAAATTTTTTTAATATTTCTATCATGCGGCAGCGAAAATATCGGTATTACAATTATTATTGATTTCTAAGAAAATGCAGGTACGATTTGTATACAATTGCCAGTGAAGTTACATATGTGTATCAGATTTATATTACATTTCAATATATATGCGTATTAATTTTGATAATTTCCGATTTGAATTTTTTCCAATTTTTAAAAAAACTTAAGGGCTTCCTATATATTAATAGAAATATTTTTCAATAAAATATTTGCATTTATAGAATACAATTTGTAAAATATTATGAATATTCTTCTTTTATTTCGGAATAGAATAAAATCGTAATAATTACGGAACATAGAATTTTCGATATATTTTACAAATCTATTCTAACGATAGCAAATGTTTTATTAAGGAATATATTTTAGTATAGTTTGCAAGAATTTTCTTTATGTATTTTTTTTTTTCGCTTTTGATATCTAAAATGATTGCAGTGAGTAGGCAGGAGCCTTAAACAAGTGCATTTCAGATTTATTATGAAAATTCTGTAAAAAAAATTGTGCCATTATCAAACATTATTTATCATCTTTAAATTTGCATTAAGAATAGATTATGGATTAAGATATTAAAATAATCATTATTCGAACATTAAGAAGCGTTATTGGAAAATCACTCTCGAACACACGCATACACTGCTGTAAATTTTTGCAGGTTCGAACTGCTGCTTCCAAAAGTATTGTACTTATTGTACTAAGTGCCATTCTCACATCACACGAGCATATTTAAAAATATATATGTATGTATGTATATATATATGTATATATCTGCACAAAATAATTCAGCAAGCGTGCAATTATGGTATCTCCAATAAATGTTAAGTATCGATAACGTAAAATTACGAAAGATCATCGTATAAGTCATACGCAGGAATATTTTTTGAATATGTTATAACAATGTAAAACCTTTTTTATCATTACGATTCAGTCTGTTGAGATAGAATTACACCTAAATTAGATTAGAAAATAGATTTAAGACGAAAATGTAATAATTAACAGTACTGATTTTCCTAATCGTACGTATAATGCACACAGTGTATAATTTAGAATTGTACATATAGCGTAAATTCAGAATTATACACATAGCATATAGTTCAGAGAAAATATTTGTGCTCTCTGATACATTGAGCATGGATCAATCAAAGATCTCCATTTACAATAGTTTTATTCGTCGATAATGTATCATTTAACGTTATTTCCATCCGATCTACAAATTACTTCAATAGTAGAAATTTTTACTACGCGTTATTATTATAATTACGCTATTTAGAATGATTCCGTTATTTCTCGTTGTTATGCACGCTTAAAATAATCACAAGAGAGATACCATAAAATAAAAAGGGTCTAAGTACGCGGACAAAAACACAAAACAATAGATTTGATAAATTCTTTTCTTGAAGTAGAATTTTTGTCTTATTATTTTCATATTTCTAGTTTGATTCTACCTTCTTAATTATTTAGACCCGTTTTAATTTATAGTAATCGAATATGCGTTTTTTTTTCACTCACAATCAGTTAAGTCCCCGTTCAATTATTTTTCCCTAATTGTCTCAAATCAGTTCTAATATTTTGATAATTCCTTGAGAATTAGCGGCTACTACGACATTAGACATCTGCCTCCAACACACCGCAGATACAAACTCATTCAGATCTTCTTCTCTTCTGTCTTGCACCTCCAATATGCTTCGAACGGCATCGAATTTGTACGAGAATAACTGCTTTGTCAGTCCTTTGTAATACACGTACAGTGCATTATTTTCTGATCCGCAGGCCACATAATCACCATCAGTGGCGAGTCCGACAAAATTCTTCTCATTTACATGCCCAACGAACGATCGTAAACAAAGCGGATTATTTATATTCCACATCTTCAACTGAGAATCTGTACTGGCTGATACAATTTCCTCCTTGTTGATAAACTTGACATAAGAGACGGCTTTGCGGTGGCCTTTGAATATGCACAGTGCTTCCTTCATGTTGCGTAAATCGTAATAATGTACGCAGTGATCTGCAGAGCCGAATGCCAAGTGACATGAGCTGCGTGGATTAAATTTCACGCAGCATACGTTTGCTTTCGCTTCTAACGACGCCACGGAATAATCGGTATTCAATGCCCATAACTTGACTCGGGCATCGTCAGAGCCGGACGCGATCAATCTAGTGTCCACGTCATTGAAATCGACAGACCAACACCTCTTCTCATGCTCCTGGAACGCCTTTGTCCTCTGACCAGTCATCGCGTCCCATACCGTCACGGTGCCTTCGTAATCAGAAGATGCAAGCATTCCTTTGTGAAAGGAATTCCAAGAAACACAAGAAATCTTGGAGCTAGAAACCATCTCGACGCAGGGATAATGAATGTCGACGGTATCACGGATAACCGCACCGTAATCGAATACTTTGATACGTTTGGTAACACCGGCAATTGCAAAGAATTCGTTGTCCTTGTCGAACTCGATACTGGATACAATGGTTGAGTTATTGAAGAGATCCGACGAATAGTTGAGGGTGGCCAGTGGACGAAGGGAATTGTACCTCGAGAATTTGACGAGATTCTCGCGAAAGACGTCTAGACCGGAACTCGTGCTGTGCACGCCACCGTGCTGTTGAGCTTCGCTCTGAGATTGTGTTTTCTGGCCGAGTAACAGTTCCTTGCCGCGAGAGTCGAAATAACATTGAACGAAATCGTCGAAATGAGCGTGTAGCCTCTTTCTACGTATGGCTAGCGTTGATCCACCGGGCTGACTGATACTTGGATTGGTGAAGGTATCAGTGGCCTTTTCACTAGGTTTTATCATATTTGAATCTATTATATCTATAAGGCCAAGCATCTCTCGCCTAATGGCTGATACTTGTGCGGAATCGTTCTCACTCGCTTTCTTGACGTCCTCTACCCGCGGACACTTACTCTGAACGTCCTTCAGAATGTTTTCTACTTCCTCCATGTCCTTTTTGATCAACGCCACTTCTTTTTGCAACTGATTCTTTTGCTCTTCCTTTTGCTGCAGCAAGTGTTTGAGAAACTCGTGTAAAAGCTTGTTTTGCGCCGTACAAGTTTCTGCCTCGAGCAGATGCTTTCGTTGAGTCAGCACCTCCAACATCACATTTACGTCAGGTAGAGTAAGATTGGCGCTCTCCGCTGCCACAATACTCCTCAGTCCGTCAGATGCTGGTACCGAAGAATCGTTACCCACCGTTCTGTGCCTACTATTGTCCGTGTAAGAGCCTAGCTGAGCGAGACCCTTGGTTCTCGTTTTATACTTGGAAACTAGCTCGTCCAACAGAAAATTCGGGAAAATGTCCTGTTCGCTCAACGTGAAACTGCATTTCGGGCAACGGTCTTTAATCTCTAAACATTTTACAATACAATGATGACAAAACGTGTGTCCACAACGTGTGATATATGCCGTGTCGATAAGATCGAAGCAAATCGGACACATGTAATCATTGCTCTTATCTTCTAATATGCCAGTCATCCTCTGTAGCACGTTTGTAGGTGGATGAGGCTTATTAAATTTACCATCGCCTAATCCACCACTGCTCCCTGCGCTGCTATCATTCCCCATATTACTGTCGCCAGGAGTCGACATTACTAATATTACTCTACTTGATTCTTGTGTCAGTCTTGAAGCAGTGATGGTCAATTAACTCAACGATTTAACAGCTTAAAATCTCTTATTTCAATTTCGTCTGACGTTGCATTGAAAAGAATGTATCATAAATCAGGCAGTATTATATTCTCATTTATAAAGCGCAGCGTGTTTCTAGGATATCCTTGTGCGGAGCAAGTTGCGCTTCATATCATGCGTATAATACCGTCTCTCACTCTAGTCACTCCTGAAACAATGAAAATAATGCCAGTGAGCTCGTGTTGCGCAAGACTATCATTGAAAAATTCAAAATTTTCAATTAACAGAAATGATACTTCATATATGACAATTTTAAGATAACAAAGGGAAAGCACTTTTTAATGTCAGATAAAGCTCAGGCAGCATTATAACAATTGTTTCAGGCTGGAAATATGAATAAAATATTTAAACATATTGTTATATCGTATGACCAAACGAAAGTGAAACAACAATTTGGAAGTGCAATGCTGTATGGGGGCTGGGGCTTTCTTATACGCGTCATGATACTATAACTTTGTGTACACGCTTGTTAAATAAAGTGTGTATATATACATGAAGAACATAGATTAACCTTGTTGAAAGAAGGAAGGGTTCAATATGGAGAAAGAAAAAAGGAATTTGAAGAATATTCAATGCGTTGAATCAACATTTGTGTCCAAATAGTTAAGGCAGAGTAGTCTGGCAAGTATATTCTACAACAGTGACGCACAAGGGATACAGCCTTGTTAGATAACAAAATAATATAATAATCTATAACACAGAACGACGCTCTGCGGCATGATGCCGTTTCTAAAATCGCGCGGATGCACAAAAGAGATTTTACAGCGATGATAAGTAGCGGGTATTGAGACTTACAGCAGAATGTTTTTCAGCAGCTTGCCGTTAACCAGCTCATTGTACTTGGCCGCCGTAGGGGTGAGCACGACATCCTCGCTCTCAGTTTCGTATACACCCAATACCAATCCCGTCTACGGAAAAAAAGGGGTAAATATGTCAGATGAGTGAGCGATAACAACATCATCGATGAGTAAATATATCTGAGAATACGGAATATCGAGTCAGCGACATTTGATTGTTGACGTCGACAGGAAGGAGTTCAGATAAAACGCCCAAGATATGTTTGCACTTGCACACGACGACAAATTGCATCATGCTTGTCCGAATTTTCCGAGATTCCACGAGAATTTCGCGTCTCATTGTTTCGAAGAGCGAACGTGCAGTTTTTTAATCAATGAAGAAGAATCGCGCGATATTACCTTCATGGTCGATACGTTGGCGAACAGACGCAAGTGTGAATTTCCGTACTGTAGTGCTCTAGTCCTGATAAAAGACAATGCCATAATTCGTTCCCAAGAGTATTAGGTGTGATACATATATATCCTCATCATGAAGGCGCACACGACGGCGACGGTGAAACGACGATTCTGATAGGTTGGATTTAATCTCCGAAACATTGGCGCCACGCGAATGTAAACCAATGTAAACCGCGCGAATTATGAATGCGAAAGACTTCTTCGATGATAATCGACGACTTCCCAAATAGAACAGCATGTCATTATGATATTATAATAATGTCAGAATGACTCTAAAATGATCATTAAAAGTTATTTTTCAATCATTTTCGATTCATTTTAATGTCATTTTGACGTTATTGTTACTTGTTGTTCTGCTTGGGTTCATATGCAAAAATATTTTTTTATATTATATATAAAAATCTATGGAGCGTACTCTTCTAAGTTTTTTTATCATCTTTTTAGTTTTGCTTCGAAGAGAAAAACTTGATACAAAGACTGCGTTCGAAAATGTCGCTCGGATACCTTTGATGCATCATCTTGTTCTTGATTAACATTAAACAAGTTATTAATGTTAAACAAGGGCAAGATGATGAATCTAAGGCATCGGAGCAACGTTTCCGAACGCAGCCAAAATAATTGTATCGTACGTTGAGGCTAAAAAATAATTTGTAAAAAATAAAATATCTTAACGTAAAAATATATTTTGAAAACTTCCTTTTTTTTTGACATAATCGTGTTTATATTTGTTCTAAACGTACTATTCGGTCCAAAATAAAAAGCTCGGAATATCTTTCTTAGCGAAAAATATCTAGATTGTGTGAATCACATTGTGTGAATGAAATTTTAAACATTTCAAAGAATAGCTAAAAACAAAATATTGTATAGTATACATATTTATATTTTCAAAACTTAATTTATCTAAACTTTCTAATTTTTGATAGTTAAAGCAATTTTTACAGAAAATTTTCCCATGCACATAATTAGTGTAATTTATACTATATAAATTAAAATATTAAATGCTAAATTATATTTGTGAAATAAATTAGATATTTTATATTGCAACTTTTTTTATAAATATGTAAGTATTATAATATATAAATATATTACAATAAATACAAATATATGTATAGTAAATATAGGGAGCTTTGTTACATAACTTAGCAATTTTAATTTTTAATAACTTAACATTAATTTTCCAAGCACAAACATTTTTTCTCTTTCTCTCTATTGAAAATTTCTTGTCTCGTTTTGAAGAACAAACACATCGCATTAATCGATAATTTATCTTCCTATCATTTGTTTTCAACTATCTATTCATTTGCATTTTCCTCTCCCTTTTCCAATGCTTTCTTCAGCTTGTCATCATTGTTTTGTTTCTCGATATTACTCTTCATCTTCTATCGATTTTTCTTTTGTTTCCCCAATTTTTATTTCTTCTCTGTTTGATCTTTTTCAGCCATTGTCAGATGAAGATTTATTTGTAGAATGATTACTGTCTGACATATCTGACTTAATGTCCATCTCTTTTCTAGCGAATGATACTTTATCTTAAGCATTATCAATTGCCTTTGTAGTTTTCTTTCCTGATTCTCCAATGGCTTGACTACTTGGCTTTCACTCGGAAAGAACGATTGTACTAGATATTTATGTACTAAGTATATATTTCTGTTTCTTGAACTATTGTCTCTGGTTGTCTTTTGGTTGTCTTTTCAAGGTGAGAGTCTGGACAATGAAATACCATCGTACCTAGCTGATATATTAAGGAATGGATTATTGTTCTTGCATTTTTTTGTCAATGATGATTGGAGCTTGCCGGCCTTTTTTGCCTCCTTCAAATTCTTCGCTATTCTTTTCTATTTCTCTTGATAAACTTGTCCTCAAAGGAATTCTTGTTCTTTAAGATGTTAGTCATGGTTATGTTTGTTGACGAATTCATCATTCAGTTGGAAATTTTACCTTCTTTCTTTTGCCTTTATCCCTTTTCTGTAAATTTTAAGTCTGTTTATAGCTGAATTAATATAAACTTTTTATACTTAATACTACTTTGGAATAAATATATACTTGAAATTTGGCAAAAGGGAGAGGGGAAGTTCTAATTTGCAATTCAATGCAACAATAAAAAAATAAACCTTATGATTTACTTGTATTTTACTTGTAATTTTTTATCAGAGAATATCGTTGTTTTATTTACATATATTCAGTAATATGTTAACAAAGTTATATTCATGAACTAAAGAAAACTTGAGAATAAACATGTCCGTATTTAAAATAAAATCTACTAACGCCCCTATATGCGTGTACATTGAACTACGTAGCCAAGCTACGAATATTTCTAGCGAGGCACGATTTTTTTCTATCGCCTACTTAGTGTTCTACAATTGATTCCGTAAAAAAAAACTAGAATAACATGTCCATTATAGAACAACTAAGTTGTTCTATGGTTCCGAAATATTATACGCTTTATAAGATAATTTTGCATAAATGTTTGATTTCTATTTTACATCGAATGAACCTTGTAATGAGACACGATAGCCTACCTAGAGTTCAGTTTATCGCCATTTTGCCAATGCAATCGTCTAAACTTTCACATTCGTACACGATCTATTTTATTATTATTTACTACGCTTATTTTTTGTTCTGAATTTATTCGATTTATTTACATATCTAGCAGCTCGTTGATTTCATGCGAAACTTTTCTGCACAGTTATGCATCTCCAATGAGGCGAAGCGCTTTTCGCAACGCACCTTTCATCCGCTAGAAGTCCCGGTTGATCGACTTGAAGACTGGAGTGGGGTCTCAGAGGCCCTGGCGTGGAAACAAGAGGGGGAGGGGGGAAGCACGATTGTATTGGGGGTCCCTGTAAGTGTGTCGGGAGTCCTGTCATATGTCGGATTTTTCATCGGATTGTTTGCGAAACGCGATCGCGCACATTTCTCGGCGACTGCACGAGCAATTCGACGAATTCGAGGATTTCCAGGGTGAGCGCGAACATCGAGTGGACCATTCTCGCACGGTCCCCCGTGCGAGCGAAACGCACTCGGGCCCCGCATCTGCTTCGAGAGTTGGAATGCGGGATCAACATGGAGGAGGTGGCGGATAGATCGATATTGCTCGGTGATGTCACGCACGGTCGCTGACTCTCCCGTCCAGCATCCCGTTGTGAGTTAATTGTGAAATTCGCACGTCAAACCGTGCCGTAAACGGTCGTGACGCGTCGCGAATGGACGCGTCTATAAGGCCCCTCCCCGCGCCTTAACTCGCACTCTGTAAATACGCACCACCGCGCAAAATTCGAGATCCATACAGTGGCAAAATTTTTTTTCTCGAAAGTGAATACCGTAACTTATCATTAAAACAGTGCGAAAGTAATTCTATCTGAGAAAAGTGGAATTGTGGCAGTTCTACATTTAGCTTCGTAAATTCGAAGAATAATCTATCCGTAAATTAATTACGTCATGACATATGTCGTCATTAAACAACACAGGCTAATAATTAAGCATATAAAATTTGAATTTTCTGTATTTTTTAGAAATAATTTCGAAAGCAATTTCTATTGTAATTTAGTTTGCCAATTTTGACTATATACTTTGATTGTTAAATTTTAAGTTAGAATTTGTCCTTTAATTTCGAAAAATATACTTACGTTTTTATTACGTTTTTATTTGCTCACGTTTGTGAGCAAATCTGTGAAAATCTATTAAACATAAAGTAACAATAACATTATATTAATATTATAATTTCTTACTCAATAAAATAATAATAATAATAGCAATAATAAATAATAATTTTATTATATGCACTTACAATTGGATTTTAAACATTGTTTAAAATTGCAAAAAAATATATACACACATATACATATATACTATATATATGTAACATAACACAAGTTGTAAATAACTGTTTAGTAGGAAATTATAACATTGCTGTAACGTTACTGTTACTTTATGTTCAGCGAGAAAATGTTTAAAAACATAAATCATGTTTTAGAATGTAAATATTGTTGTGAAATGTCCTTCGGATCCAACAATTTTTATCTCTACTTAGAATATGAATATAAAAATTACACGATTGTATTGAAATGAATTTCTGAATTGCAGAACGGAGCATGGAATGGAAGGATCATGCCCACTCCTCTTTCCCAGCTTCGGGGAACAGAGCGGTTCTGAGCGGGGAGGAGGCTACTCGTCGCAGAAGGTCGGCGTTTATCGACCAGGAGCGGACGCTATCGACTTGGGCTATCACACTCTCGATAACAATGCTTGCCGCACTACTTCATCATCATCCTCATCAACCCCAGGTGTATCCAGCACGCCGACTCGTCAACAACAACAGCAGCAACAGCTATCGCAGCAACCTAAGCATCATCTGGTTCATCACGTCACCGTCAATGACCTCTGCCAGCTGGACGACAGTCTGCTGCTGAGGATCTTTAGCTGGCTCGACACCCGCGATCGCTGTTCCCTGGCGCAGACTTGCCGACGACTCTGGGAGATTGCGTGGCATCCGGCACTCTGGCGAGAGGTCGAGGTGCGTTATCCACAGAATGCTACCACGGCGTTAAACGCGCTGACGCGCCGTGGTTGTCATACCTGTGTCCGTCGTTTGGTCCTGGAAGGCGCCACCGGGTTGCCCGGCATCTTCGCTCAACTGCCGTACCTCAATCTGACCTCCCTAGTGTTGCGACACTCGCGTCGAGTTACCGACGCCAACGTCACCACCGTACTGGACAGCTGTGCTCATCTCAGAGAGCTTGACTTGACTGGCTGTTCTAATATTACTCGTGCCTGCGGTCGTACCACTATTTTACAGCTACAGTCGCTCGATCTTAGTGATTGCCATGGAGTCGAGGATTCCGGTCTGATGCTAAGCCTGTCGCGCATGCCGCATCTGGGATGTCTTTACTTACGTAGATGCAGCCGCATTACCGACTCTAGCCTGGCTACCATCGCTTCCTACTGCGCCAATCTGCGTCAGCTGTCGGTGTCGGATTGCGTGAAAGTTACAGACTTCGGGGTGCGCGAACTGGCTGCACGTCTCGGTCCATCGCTCCGTTACTTCTCCGTAGGCAAATGCGATCGCGTGTCCGACGCTGGTCTGCTGGTCGTCGCCCGTCATTGCTACAAGCTGCGCTATCTGAACGCTCGTGGTTGCGAAGCGCTTAGCGACAGCGCGACCATCGCCCTGGCACGTGGTTGTCCGCGTATGCGCGCTCTGGATATAGGCAAATGCGACATCGGCGATGCGACCCTCGAGGCACTCTCTACTGGATGTCCGAATCTGAAGAAGTTGTCCCTATGCGGATGCGAAAGGATCACCGACGCTGGTCTCGAAGCCTTGGCCTACTATGTACGTGGCCTGCGGCAACTCAACATCGGCGAGTGCTCCAGAGTCACGTGGGTCGGCTATCGCGCGGTTAAACGTTACTGCCGACGTTGCGTCATAGAACATACCAATCCTGGGTTCTCCAGCTGATGTTATCCAATCAGCAACGTTGCTCGTATTAAGAATCCCGAGCAATAGTATGGAAGTATTCTCGGAGGAAGGTACTCCGAAGAGGAGAATATTCTGATGAATTCTCTGGAAAAGGGACTTTGATATATCCTGAGAATATTAAAAGTAGGAATTATGTTAATATAGTACATTGAGAATACATTCTCTAGTATAATTTATAAAGATGTTCGAATATTCTCAGGATATTCGCTTATTTCGTAACACTAATCTCAAGTGCCAGAGTGTAATATAGCGAAAGTTTATAGAGAATTGTAAACCTAATTTGTTATCAAAGTTTACGCGATGATAAATGTTATTTTTGATACGACGCGACGAAAAGAAAAACAACAAAGGTGAATCATCAATTTTTGAGATCGATAACTTGTATCGTTTGCAATTTATTTATTAACAAACACCGTTTCGTCGCTTACATATTTGTAAAAAGATTATTTCACAATTGGTTGTAAAAATATATACATATATCTAGCTTTTCAAAAATCACGCATGCTATTTATTGTTTCTATAATTTAATGCATTGTGTAATGATAATGAATCGTTTATATTTTGTAACAACGTTTTGTAATTTATTGTAATAACGATATGGTATTAAATATTCTCATTTCTTAACACCATTGGAATTAATATGTGGATTTATTACATGGCATATACAATATGTATGAAATTGCATAGAAATATGCAATAAATCAGTTCTTGTTAAACTAAATTATTTTTTTAATCCAAAATTTCGCGCAACAAATTTTATTTATATTTATGTCATAAAAAAAATTGTTATTGTTAAAAAATTAAATATACTGCAAATTTCATTAAACAATTTTTATAAAATTGTGACTTCGACATTTATACAAGACTTACAAGATTGTAATTTTTTGAAATCTTTATTTTTCTTCTAACTTACAAAGCAAAATTTTATTAAAACCTTACAGTTGCAAAGGGTAATTTTAACATGCAATATATATAAAAAATATATAAAAAATATAAAAAATATTTATATGTATAAATACATTTTTAAGAGAATTGAATTATAAAACTCGTTCTCATTTATTAAATCACGATTTCAACAATCAACTTTGTGCCATAAAATATATATCTACTTTCAAAAACATTTTGAATATTGAACTGAATGTGCGTGATGCATGTTTACAAAAACGTAAAATAATTCAAGCTTGTTTCCTCCCGTGATCGATAAAATAATGTTGGTAAATTATTAAAAATAGATTGCAATGATGTCCATTTTATGATTTAGATGTTTTTGTTGGCTTAAAAATAAAATATGTGATCCGTTATCTCTCAGAGAGAAAATCGATGCTATTATTTTGGAATTGGCGCTTTCTGTTATTTAAACATTAAAGAATACAAACAAAAAATTACCTCAAGTAATAGAACGATGTTACAAAATGATGTAATGTCCAGTAGACTAAAATACAATAGAAGTCTGTATAGTTGCTTTCTGTTTGCACCAAAACTCAGATAATTCTCATTTATGATGTCATTACTCAGTTGAATGCTGCACGTTACTTTTTATTCTTATAAGCGAGATTCGATTTTTACTTACATTCTGCACAAGCTCGATAGCTTGAAACTTGTACTTTACTAAGTCTTGTTACTGAGTCTATTAGCTCGCATTAAAAGTAAGATTATAAACCTGTGTTGTCACGCAATAACTTTGTCATCAAAGTAAGCAAATAATGACGCCATTATCTGCGTATAAAATACTCGTAACTTTTTAGATTCAGTATCGCTTGTGTGAAAATAAAAAGCAATATCCAAGAAATACAAAAAAATCAACAAAAAATCAAAATAATTTTATTTTTATTCTTAACGTCAATAAACAGTCAAATTTTGTAATAAAAAATCATTTTGACTTTGATGACGTCTAAATAAAGTCATTCTGACTTTTTTTTGATATATTTCTTGAATATGTCATTCTATATAGTTTGAACACATTTTCGCGTATCTTCGTGCATTTCATTCGGACTTCGCATTCAGTGTAAATTTGTGCCGGCGCCGTTTCGTTTTCGATAAACGCCTGCGCGAATTTTCTTCGGGAACCCGCGTTCTCTGGTAGGGATAGCGCGGGATTCAGGGGTGAAATTGCACGGTAGTTGAAAGCCGTCGTCGTGTATCAGTCGTACGTAGGCGGTCACGCGGTCACGAGCAGGCCCTCAATTCCATGTCGCCCTCTTCCGTTCTATTCCTTCGATACGGGCTTCTTCTGATCATCGCCTTCGGAAATGGTGAGTACTCCCAAAATTGTGCGATTTTCATTTAACGATCGATTTGGATGTTTTTAGCGCTTCTATCCTTGTTTTGCATTCAATGAACAATAAAGACAGAATGATGACTATATGCTTAAAGCGCGTAATTGTCCAAACCGAACGCAGCCGATAATTCGCAAGGTAGCCGCGAACTTCTCGACTGGACTCAGACAACACAAAGTATCCAAAAGAGAGACATAAGACATCTTAAAGACGTATTATATCGATGTTGAGAAATCATTTTAGATTGTTTGCCTTTTTTGTTTCAATATTAGAACATTGCGATTGCAAATTGAAAAGTTCGCTTTGGAGGATTTAAAATACTAAGATTGATAAGAGTAATAAGAGTTTTTGTTTAATTTTCAGATCTCTTTGGTAATAAGTTTTGTTTCCTTAATTAATTGAGTTTTTGTTGTAATTACTTAATACATTATAAATTTAATTTTTGCATAATTAAGTTTAATATTTAATCATTGAATGTTTAAAATAAAATAGATTTTCTTTCAAATGAAATTTTTGCAAATCTTTTCTAAATAGTTTAAAAATTTTTTCATTAATTTCTATAACAACAATAATAATAATAATAGTAATAATGTTTTCAAATTCGTATAATTTCATTAGCTAATAATTTTATTTCAATTATTGCCATTAGATCTTGTTTAAAATAAATTAAGATAAACTTGAGATTAAGATAAACTATTATATGATTTATATGTAATATTTTCTTTTTAATATTTTATATTTTTTACAAAATTGAAAATTGAAATGTTCTCGCAAAATAAGTCTAAGAAATTATTATATTTCATGAAAATTTACTTTTTTATAAAATCTATAAAAATATTTTGACGCAGGAAAAAATTTTACTTGAGCTCAAATCAGCAAAAATCTCATAGCACGACACCATTGCATAAGAAAGAATAATTATCTTGCTTCGAGAATTGGATTATTGTCACTTTTTTTAGATGTCCTTTAAAATCTCGATTATTCACCCTTTTCCTATATTCTATATTTTACCCTATTCAATAATCTCGGAAGCTAAGAAAGATGTAGATCAATGAAGCTTCAAGGTTTGTGTCTTGGTATCAAAGTACACCGCGTTTAAGAATTGTTTAGATATTGTCTGTAGACGTCACAAAGCTCGTCATAGCTTTTGCCCGCCAGGACTACACAACCACTGATATCAAAGACGTCTGAGATGTAAATTACGCGACGCGATCAAATTCCCAAGGCTGAAACGTCAACAAATTGCGAGCCATTTTTAGGAAGGGCGTCCTCGACACGAGAGACAATGCGAACAATTCGCGATTTTTATTACATCTCTTGACCGAGAAATTTTCAAGGACGGTTCGATAATTTACATTCCCATGCCCGTATAAATAATAATTATCGTAGAATTTTTTTTAAAGATACATCCTTGAAGATTTAAATAGCCGAATCAATTTAACAGATGCAAAATATTTGTACGAATCTTCGATCGCACAAATCCTAAAATTTTAAATTTAGGCTCGGTAGAAAATTCTATTCGCAAAGGTCAGTTACAAGAGTGCAGTTGAACACGAACATGTTCAAACAGAATCCTGATGTGAGTTTACTTTTAACTGTCCCGGATATACATAAGAGAAAGGTTTGTGAAACTTTTAATGTTGAATGTCGCTTCCAGCGACACAATAATATTGCTTTCCGATTAAATCTAAAGAGACCAAAAAAATTAAAATAATGTTTGAATCTGTAAGTTAAAATATTGACTGAATTATGTTAAAAAAAATAATATAAATTCAATAATCGATTAATAATCGATTTAATATGACATTAAATTAATATTATTTTGATTTGATACTTTCTTGTACTTCCAAGGAACGCGCAAAAATCAACAAAAAAATCAAAATGATTTGTTTTTATTCTTAATGTCAATAAATAGTCAAATTTTATAATTAGAAATCGTCATTTTGATTTTCATGATGCCAAAATAAAGCTATTTTGACTTCTTTTTGACTTGATAATTCCTTGAGCTTGAAAATCAAGCAGAACATAAATTATCACGATATCAAAATTATGTTAAAATGGTTCTAAAGTAATTATTAAAAGTCATTTTTCAGTGTGAAAATGAGTTACGATTTTCATTTTAACGTTATTTTCACGTTATCGTGACTTATTGTTCTACTTGAGAAGTGTTATATCGAGATATCACGAACAATACGTCGTTGCCATTCTTATAAATTTGAGTCACTTTTAATTTTCCTTTTGATTTATTGCTTTAAAAATTATTTGAAAAATTACCTTTTTACTTTAAGTTAAAAGTTAATGATGTAATATTCTAATTAAATTTGTGATTTAATCTAATTCACAATAAATAATATATATATAATTTAATTCAATTCATTTTGTAATGCTCGAAATTTGGTTTAATAAATGCCGGGAACAGATAATATATAGAAGGTTCTTACTAAAGGTTCTTACTAAAGGTTTCTTACTAAAGGTTTCACGTGACTCACGATGTAGCTTTCGATCTTAACTGGATCTCGTTATGGTATGTTGCGTCGCAGCTGGTAATGTAAACATTTGCGAATCAATCGCGTCAAGGGGCCATTTGATGCCTCCTCCATGCCACTAAATTCGGTGATCGGGATACTGGCGGAATTTACATATTCGTCGGAATCGGGGTCTGTGCATGCATTTAACAAATCGGTTTACGTACCGAGGTTTTAATGGTTTTGGGTCACCATCAACGATTATTTCCTCGTCACTACAAACTAAGTTTTATCCATTTATCTGCGAATTGACACGCGGCTGATCGTGTGCAAAACAACAGATTATTTTTATGGAATTCAATACAGTAAAAAAGTTTGAACCAATCGAAGGAGAGAAACGAGAAATAATAAATAATAATAACTTTGTTAAAAGCATAGATGATTATTAGATATTATGTGTCTGACGCTAAAAATTAACTGTTAAAAATTTCATGAAATTTAATGTACTTTTAGTTACACAATTTGAATTTAAAAAACAATAATTAAAAATTTGAATTTAATTTCATATGACATTACATTAAATTTAATATACTTATAACTGAAAAGTATTAAAATACTTATATACTTAAATACTTAATATAAAATACTTAATATAATATGGCTCTCTTTCAAATAAAAATAAATTATGTTAAGAAAGGCTATGAGCCAAAATAATAAAATATAATGTATGTAATAAATACAAATAATTTAATAAAAATAAAAATAAAAATAAAAATATGCCTACATTAAACTAACGTTTCAACTCCGACCCAGAGTCATTCTCAAAGTTATAAAAGTAACTGAAAAATGAAAAGTATTAGATTAGAAAAATCAATTTCTTTTGATAAATTTGTTTATTTAGCCTCATATTATTCTGCCAATTATTGTTTTATTATTGAAATTTTACTCTTATTTCAAGTGTTCGGATAATCGAACATCTTCATATGTTGGAAGATAATCTCCAGATGCTGACAGATGTCTTCGCGTGATGAGCCGCTCTGTACGAAGAAATTCGATGTCAGTCGGTCGAGATCCCGTGAGATATTCCGCAGCTCATACAGTATCGACATCTAACATACGATCTCATTACGAATCTGTGAGATTTTTTGATCTCTGCAACGGTGACAGGCCAATATTTCTCGATCTATGAGAATCTTTTGAAATTATTTTTCTACTCGGAGATAAAAGATTTGAATATGTGATTATCATAAAAACGAGGCATTAAAATGTTATGATATGTATTGAAATTATTTATATTTACAGCTTATTTAACAATAAAAAAAAGTAGAACTGATAAGATAACACAATCAAATATCCTCCTTCAATTTTGATAAGCTTTGGATACGTTAACGGTTAAAATGTAGACAAAAATAAAAAATTCATATTTTTGTAAGTGCTTTCTTGCATGCTAAGAAGATGGAATTTCCCTTAAAAATATTAAGTTTTTTTTCTTCCTGCAGGATAAATATCGTTTGCATCATCAAAGATAAACAAAATATTTTAAATAAAAGTTGAATGGTTTCGAGAGTATTTTATTATAATAATAAAAACTTTTTCTTAATTTTTTAATTTTTACAAGTAAGTTTTTACTTATCATCGTAAAGCGCTCTTCAAAATCATTCAATTTTTATTAAAAATATTTTTTTATATCTTTTTAACAAAATTCACTTAGAAAGAAAAAAATCGATTTTTTCAAGATAGAATATTATTATTCCTTTAATATAAGCAAAACTGTGTATGTATATGAGCAAAACTGCCACTAATGTTACTTCAGCATCGTTCAAATATCGTTAGAAAATGGCACTCACTGTCGTTTGAAGCTACAACTTTTATAGTTCGATAAGACCATGAGGAATCATTCTCCTAATTACGAGCGGTATTTTCGCAACGAGTATCACTTCCTTGCAGTATCTTTCTACCTTCCTTACTTTGAGCTGAGATTAGCTTGGTCCTCTGACAGGTTTCACCACGCTTCACGGCACAATGGTCGCTTCAATGGGAAGGTGGACTGACGTTATACTGATCATGTAGCTGATCGCTATGATGGACGAACATTCACGTAACGAAACGGATCAGAGCCGTGATCAGAGAGAATGGCCCGGCGAAAGGAATCTCTTGAGTCGCTTCCCAAGACTTTACGCCGCTTTTCTCGCGTTCAGCCTTACACCATTCTTTACTCTAAGTGATTCGCCATCACATTTTATCCCTTCGAATATCATTTGTGCCGTGATTAGATGAAGTGCTTTTTTATACGGACACTTCATTTTTTTTCGCATGGTATTAAATTGAAAAAGAGGGATATAATTTAAAATTTTTAATAATTAAGTTAACGTATAATATTAGATTTATGCTTTATTATATTTCGTTAAATTTGCAATTCGGTTTAATTATAAATTTTATTTACATTATCGAGTTGTTTTTCGTTAAATTATTAACAGCATCCAACAGTGATGAAAATGATTATTAAAAGCCTTGAAAGAGAGGAAAATTGAAATTTTTCTAGTTGAATAAGCTAAAAGGTATTGTTTAAATGTGTATAATATCAATCTTGGAGTAATAAATTGAATATAAAAGATAATATTCTGAAGTTAAACATACGGAATTTCTACAATTTCAATGAAAGACTTATCTAAACAATAAATAAAATAAATGATACATGCAGGATGTTTTTTCCGAATGTATATATCTCTTTCAAATTTATCTCTTACAGAAAAATAAAAATATTTTTATGATACAAGATGTGTATCTATTTTGTGCGCGCGCGCGCGAGTGTGTGTGTGTGTGTATGTGTGTGTGTGTTTTTCTATATATATCATTAATATAATTTTTTCTATATATATCATTAATATAAT